AAAAAAAATCACATCCAGAACTAAGAAATTAATTTTTTTACATCACTGATGAACACTATACTGGAAGATGATGATTATATAGAACGAAAGATGATGAAAAAAATTACATTGCTGTTTCAAAAAAAAAAGGAGGAAAAATATGAAGGAAAATGTAGAGCGAAGATTGAAATCCATTTCACTGGGGAGTGCCAACAAGAATCATTTTCTCGCTTTTCTTCTGATAACGTTACGAGTCATCTTTCAACACAAAAAAAAATATTGCACACGGAGCACAGTATGAAAAAATTAACAAAAAAGGAAAAATCGATAATTTCCATGTATTTTATCGAACCAAAAAAAAAAGAAAGAAAGGAAAAAAGAAAAAAAAATTATACGTGTATGAAAAAAGAGAGGAGAAGCAAAAAAAATCAGTCTTTCTATTTTCCCTTTTTTTACGGTACGAAAAAAAAATTCCATCAGCTTTGGGCGAATCCTGTAGAAATAGAAAATATTTCTTGCAACCTTATAGAACAATCTTATTGTGTTTACCATCGAGATAGAAGGGTGACTTAGCCACCAAACGTATCCTCATTTTCTCAATTTTCTTTTTTTGCTTGCTTTCGTTGTCATGAAAAAAAATTCTCGATTTTCCTTTTTTCATATCGCTTTTTTTTTTGCACCATCTCCGTCAGATCACCCATCATCCATGCTTCTCGTCTCATTTTTTTACCGTTTTATATGCTCTTATATACATACACACCAAGCTATGGCCTCCCCAGCTTCACTTGATAGAACATTTTTTACTCATCGTATCCTTATTGCAAGTTAACAGCAAAGACAACATATGTAGTGTGAGGAGTATATTTGACTAGCGTTCTTTACCATCATGATAAGAAGAAAATGTTTATAATGAAAGAAGGAACGTAAAAGGTTTACTGAGAGTGCGAGTTTTTTTTTTCTTCAGTTCCTTTCGTCTTATTGTTCACTATAAAATAAGATTTTAAGGTCAATGGCAGAATTTTTCATACGATCTGTCGTCTATAAAGCGATCGCATGGATTTTAAACGTTTAATAGACACAGCAATAATTCGCAAAATGGATGAAAAAAATTAATAAGCAAGTATGAAATGTTTTTCTATGAACTGAGACATGATAGCGTGATTGTGTTCACATGGATGTGAGAATTCGAGATAGTCCTCGTGTGATTATTTAAAAAAAAAACTGTTCATACATGCTGTTAGAACTGAAGTTTAATCTGGTTTTGAATATCTAAATTAATTTGAATTTCGAACAGATTTTTGAACTTTTATACGATATTTGAACTTATTGAACTTGCTGAAAACTACATTTTGAACTTTAACGGACGTTTTTGACATAATTTTAAACTATTTGATCAATAATTGAACCCATTGTTCAAAAATTTGAGCTACAAACTACAAGATTTAAAATATATCATTTCAAATCTTTTATTTCTGTTGGTATTATTAACAATCTGAATCAAACGCGAACAAATATCTAATACTGAGTAATACAAAGTAAAAATATAGCTTTGGTGATGCAAATAAACTAGTAAAATGTTCATAAACTTTGAATACAATTTTATTGAATTTTCAAATGTTTGCAAATAAATTTCCCATCACGACTTTCAAGTCTATAAAATTTTAAACACGCAATAGAACATTTCAATAAAATATCAATTTATTAAAAAATGGTGAAAGTTTAAGAATTGTCAATCTGCCTTCAAACATCTAAAAACCTGCGAAAACTGCGCTGAAAATTAATAAAAATTAAAAAATAGCAAGAAATTTGTCGCTTAACAGCATTAAACTAATTACTTTTTTTGTTACTGTGTTTAATGCGGAAAAAATTGAAAAATATTGTGAGCTTAAAAAGCGACAATGACGCGTCCGTCCATCGGTCATATAAAAAGAACCTATAGCATGTACATTGTGACTTAACTGTTTTTAATTAAGAATCATGGAGACTCCCAGATTTTAATTAGAAAAATTTTTTTCAACACGCTTTTTATACATTCTTTTTGAAGCTCATTAAGCTCCCGTAACTTCATTTTATTAATAAAAAAAAAAATAAAGAAAGAAGTAAAGAATCTTGGCCCGAAGAAAAATCGGCCACATTAATCCAATGTAAGATAGATAGATGAGAATGAATGAGTAAAAGAAGGAGAAGTAAAAAAAGCTGCTGAAAAAATTAAAGAAAAACATTAAGGGATCGTGTACCAGAAGAAGCAGAATTTTTTTTTATTTCATCAAGCATCTCCTACCCTCATATTTCTTATACTGACTGCTGTTGCGATACAGCACAAAAAAAAATCGTTTGAGGGTATTCACGTCTCTCTCTCCATTGTCCATCTTTGTATCCCTCAACACCCACCGTTTTTCGGTGAATTCATAATTAGAAATTTTTTTCTTTTCTTTCTCTTAAGCGCCCCTGACGATAATTAAATGTTGGTGGTATGAGATCATCTTACACTCGTGTATCTATGCAGTAATAAAGTTACTCTGAGTAAAAAAAATTGTTTATAATGCGAGGGAAAAAATGTAAAAACTGGTTATTCAAAATGTAAAGGAAAATTTAATCATTAGTCATGTGAATTAAATTTTTTTTTTCGTTGTCGTGACTATTTCAGATTGATGGAAGAATATAGAATTAAAAATTCAATCGCATTAGGTCAATTAAAATTTTTTTTAAAAAATATTATTTTTCTTGGGACTGTCACATGTTTAAAATCCAGTCAAGAAGTTGTTGGGGAAATTTTTATAATTGTTTTTTGGAAGAAGTCGAATAATTTAAGAGCTAGGTGTGCTTGAAAACTTAATGTTTGTTTTTTTTAAGGTACCCCCCCCCCCCCCCCCTTATTGTTTGTATTTATATATTTCAAAAAAATTCCCAATTTTACCACAATTTTGTGAATCAAACTTGTGACTCACTTCCAAACGATACTTTAATGATCTTGTCAAAATCTTGACGATGTTTAGCATGCATTGACGTAAGTGAGTTTTTAAAAATTCCCAATAATTTCGTTCAAATTACGTGTTCATAAGTTTTATGCAAATACTTGCTTTTTTAACCGATTTAATCTTTGATCATACCAAATAGGGATCTTACTAGTGATAAGGATGTGCACAAAATAATAAGTCGATAAGTTTTAAGCTATGACCAAACTTCGAATCTCAGTGAATCCTGTCCAAAATCAAAATAAAGGCACAACTCCTAATACTATTCAATTCATAAATTCAATAATTAACATTTAGAAAATTCGCAAAATTTTACTCAAAAGAAAATAATTTTTTACAACGACACAGTTCTACGTCATTAAATAGACAAATTTCGATGAAAAAAAAATATATTAAGTCGAAAAAAAATTGTTCTTATATTCAACCGACTACGTCAAGTCGCATAAGCCTTGTTTCATTCGTTAATGAACGAGAAGGAAAAAAATGAGGAAAAAATAAAAAATGACGAAATTTTTTTTGGTGGGCTTTTCAGAGCAAAAAAAAGGAAAATGGAATGAGAATTGAGAATAAAAAAAAAATTGGGAACCTTTTATGTAGAATTTATTTTTCATGCTTAGGTTGCTTTCGTTTCGGCAAATGAAGAATGAGTGGATGGAGATGAAGGAAGAAAAAAATAAAATAAAAACTGGGTGGGCTACCAGGAGGAAAAAGAAGAGGAGTGAAATTTTTTTTGCCAAGCTTTTGTCCAAAAATTGTTATTTTCTTCGGACCTTTTTCCAGAAAAAAAAGTATACGAGATTTTTTTTTATTACCTAAATGTCCTCCCATCGCAACCATACTGCGCCTCATTCTACCCTTTACCTTTTTTATTCTCCACTGCTTGGCAGAGAAAAAAAAATCCATTTTTAGTTTTTTCTCGCTTTTTTTATAAAAAAGAATTGTGATGGGGTGGTAGCAGAAGAGAGGGTTGAAAATGAAAAAAGTAAAAAAAAAATAAAATCATAGGATGGGTGGCACATCTGTACGGGACGACAGAAAATGAAGAAAAATAAAAAAACTGGTGTACACGGTTTTTTGCATTTTTCTCCTTTTTTAATTGGATTTTTCTTTAGTGTGCACAATTTTTTATTCTCGAGTCTAACGGAGAGAAGTTGTAGCAGGGAGCTATTGAGTAATAATGTCGCTTATTTTTTCCACTTCCTTCTTCTGCCTCTTTCATATATGATTCAAATATTATATAATATTTAAATTTAAGCTCTCTTCTTTTAGACGAGAAAGATGAATGAAAACGAGGACACCTGCTTCTTATGAGCTCTCCTCTTCTGCTTCTTCCTTATTTTTGAGATTTTTTTTGTGTTAGAGAAAACTTCTAGAGGTTCTAGCTGCAATAAAGTTTGTCTCAATGTTCTATGTATTTTCATAAGATAATTTTATATTCAAGACTCAAGAAAGAATCGAACCTCGAGAGCTGTAGGTTTAAAGGTTTCAGTTAAGCATCAAAAACTTACTGACAGAATTACGTCCAAAAACCTCGTTATTCAAAATATTTTCTAAATTTGCACTCAGCATCGAAAGACGATATATAGTAAACGAAGTCTGTAAGTTGCATATTACAGTGGTGCTCCAACTATACTCTATGATACACTGGTGAGCCACCACATGATCTCAAGCAAATGGTTGGCAAAAGCTCAAACATTCTCAATGAAGCAAACAATTTTATTGAAGACGTGCTTTATGCAAGACATTAGAAAAGCATTACTCTTATTAAAAACCAAGATCTTCTTATGGCACCTATTTATATATAATTCAATCAAAACAAAAATATATCCATAATAAATAACAAAACTTCGAATCGCGAACAAGAGCCGAGAGTGTCATGAATCCCCAAACCATCTCATAATAAACACATATGAATATTTATGCATGATGAAAGGATTTTATATTTTCATAATTATTCACAATTATTCTTCTTTCCTCTCTTGCACTATTGTTTAATTTTTGTATGCTTCCTTTTCATTATTCTCGTATACATTCTTTTAATTGCAGGACTCTCATTTTTCGTGGAAATAAGAAAGAGAAGTAGAAATTCATAATAGTGTTGCAAAAATGTTACCGCAGCAGTATTGTTTAAGATGGAAATATCATCACAGCAATTTACAGACAATGTTCTCACAGCTATTAGATCGAGGATGCTTTTGTGATGTAACATTGGCATGTGATGGACAAACGTTAAAAGCTCATCGTGTAGTATTATCAGCATGTAGTACATATTTCGATTCAATATTGACAAATTGCAACAGTGAAAAAGATCCAATAATCATACTAAAAGATGTAAAGTTCATGGATATAAAGTATCTAGTTGAATTTATGTATAAAGGAGAAATCAATGTAGAACACGTGAGTTTCTTTACATGACATTTTTCTTCCTTTCAGTCCCATGAAAAGAATGGAAATCATACAGAACTCTTTTTTTTTTTCATTTTACCCCCTTGTTTTTGCACAAAACAACAGAATAACTTGGCATCACTGCTTAAGACAGCTGAGGAGCTTCGGATTAAAGGCCTCGCAGAAGTCTCGTGGAGAGATGATGACGGCGAAAATCCTGAGAGTAACGACAACAACAATAATAATGTTACAGAAACAAACAATTCATTTCCGCTCATGGCACAGCCATCAAATCATCATCATCAGTCGTCAATATTATCATCGTCATCATCGTCAACGAATCAAAGTCAAATGGGACCATCATCATTACAAAGTGAAAGAAAAGAGTATGATAACAAAGAAAATTTGCTTAAGGCAATGCCATTTTTAGCACCATTGAGTTCACCAAAAGATCTTTCGAATAGGAAAAAGAGAGGAAGACCGCCATTAGATGAGTCCAATAATTTCGCACGAGGGTAAGTGACGTGAAAAATTTTTCTTTCTTAGAATTGTTTTTCCTTCATAGACGTCTTTTGTTCTTTGCATTCCCTTCCATGTAGTCCAAAATATGTTCATCTCATTAACCAACAATATTATGATGATGATAATGATGGCAAGGAGAGTGCTTATGATTTATCGACATCAGCCTCATCATCGAATACAACAAATCCTGTTACCGCTTCACATCCCTCATCAGTTCTTAGTCGTTTAATTCAAGATGATAATATTGCTAAAAATCATATTCAAGACACACATGAGAGACTTAATGGACTTGGCAGTTCGTCAAAGAAATCACAAAAACATTCACCAATTCCACATTCATTTACAAATAGTTCAAATCTCGTTACGGTTATGATGGATGAGAAAAATCATGATTCCGATGACCATTCCTTTTATATGCATCTGAGACGTGATGAAAACGGACACAACGCTGACTATGATGAAGGTAAGCCTTCACAAAATCTTATTGTATTTTTTTTTTCTTCTCTTGACCTTAAATTTGTGACATATTTTTTCATACTTCTTTTTTGTTCTGCTCGTTTTCTTTTTCGTTCTTGCCTCCACATGACATTTTTTTTCTAGAATCAGCAAGCCAAAAAATCATTCCAAAAGTCGAACGTGCGGAAACACCAGCTGATCTTACCGAGGACGATGAGAGCGCCATGAGAGACTCAACAGACAACACTCTGCAATCAATTTTCCTCACACAAGAAGAACGCGAAGAATGGAAGGATGTTATCAAAATGAATGATTACTTAACGAAAGGTAGACGACCACAATTTTGGGAGGAGAATTATGTTAAGAGAGTTTTAGGTGAGTTTTTTTTTTGTGGATTGCATGGATTTATAGGGGTTAGACTATTTTGATGTTTGCAGTCATGTTAGATTTAAATTGTGACTTTTGGAGGATTATATTCTGAGTTTAAGTTTTGCAAAGTAAGACTCTATGTTTGTGTAGAGTCGAATAATCCACACAAGTACTCAGCTAAGGTGCAGAACTTATAAATTAAGCTTGATCCCTTATGATCAGTTTCACATCCTCGAATCTTAGTTGACGTTTTAGTAGCCAATAATCCTTCACATGATTATTAATCGCGTGTAATGTAAGTCTTTTGAAGACATCAAGTGTTTCTTTATCAGAACAACACAGAACAAAAAGTACTTAAAAATTTAAAATCCCAATTTGACGTCATTTCTAAATGACTCCAAAGTTTGTTATCAGTTCTGAGTCGAAATTCTTTAAGATTTCAAGTCATTCTAAGTAATTCAACATCAATTCTTTATAATCATCTCCCAACCAATTCCATATCGCTCAACATCCTGCCCCATCAAGTGGGAAAAAAATGTTTAAAGCAGTTTAAACTCATTAATAATTTTAGTCACGTATATCTTATCAGCCGTAGATTTACAAATCGTTTTGAAAGTGTTTAAAAATAATTTTTTTTTTCTGAAGGAACAAAAATTCAATTTCCCAAAAATAAATTTGGATTACGGTATCTAATCTCTGAAAAAAAAGTACTACGTCAGAACATCACAAGAAAAAATAAGTAAATTGGAACTGGAGGGTACTTAGCAATCTAAACTTATCAGTAAAGTGTAAATGAAGGTTTATTTTTGACTGCAAATTTTTAAAAATAGGTTTTCGATAACTTATCATTTTTGAAATTCTTTTAATTAGCTGACGACTTTCTCTAATCAGTTAATACTTCTTTTAAGCTATTCATTGACATTGATTTTAATTTCATTTTAATTTCTGTTTCTTTTTTATAAATTAGATGCTATAAAGAATAAGAATTTGGAAATGAAGAAAGCTGCAAAATTATTGGGGGTGTCTTATGGGACACTTTATGGACGCTACAGAGAGACTTACGGCTGTCTAAAGCATCCTTACAGGTAAGAATATCAACTTTTTTAAAAATTGATATTTTAATAAAATTATTCATCTTTTATTGACACATTAAGAGGCCCACCAGGAAGCTACATGTCACGCATGAGAGACATTTGGCCAAGTGATGAACCTAGTGATCTTTTAAATCTCGTACAGCGGAGTCGAATGTCAATGGTAAGAGCTAATAATCATCTAGCTTTCAAATATTTTGTTCAATAAGTCTTCAAAATTCAGTTACAGAGTGATGAAATGAATGGAGCCAACCTAATGGACATGATGAACGATGAGGCTATGCTAGAGCATTTGGCACCGAATCTCGCAAAATCATATTCAAGAAAAATGATGAACAATCTCGATGTGGCACATCTATTGAAGCAAGTTCAGTCAAGTACAAATCACAAAATTCCATCACCATCATCATCTCACTCTTTATCTCCTCCACCAATTCCTCACATATCTACATCACCAAATCATCATATTCCAATACCCTCAACATCATCCGCGTCTAGTTTACTGGGGACACCTGTTGCACCATCAACAAGTATTGAGTCGTTTCACAAGTAAACTTTTAACTGTTCTTCTTTTTCTACAGTCATCATCGTACATACTTTTCTCGTAATGTTTTCCAATATTTAATGAGATGAAAAAGAAAAAGGCGCAAAAAAAGAAATTATGTGCAAATTTTATTGGGATTCTCCCTCATAAAGATTCATATATTCCTTGTGTATAGCTAGACATAATATTTAAATGTATATGTAGTCTCTAATGTCTCAAGTTACTTATTAACATGATAAACGATTAATGTTTTAATTGGGGGCCTGTTTACTTATTGGATCGACCCTCATTCTCATCTTGGGCAGGTGTTTAGGGCTTCTCAAGCTTACCTAATCATAGTTCTTATTCTAGAGTGTGTTGCCTTAAGTAGCATTAGAAACCGGCCCATAAGATTGAATTTGAGTGATAAATCAATTTTGCGACCCGAGGATGATAGAGACCTCATAAGTGATCAAGCCCTTAGGTTGAAGATAAAAAAAAACAATAATGGATATGAAAAAGGCCAAAACTTAGATTTTGTTTCTTATTTTTTTTTATAATCAAGAAAACTTGTTGATTTAAACATTATTTTAAAGAACCTAGGTCAAGATGAATTAGCTATTCGTAAGAGAAAAAGAAACCATTAGAGATGTAAGACATAAAGAAAAGAATCAGTATTATTTGTCTGATAAATGTTAAATAATACTAATCCATTGATTCATAATCACACAAAAATTATGATTGAATATTTAAAGGCACCTTCTGTATATAAAAATAAAAAATTGTGACTGACATTAAGTAGGAAAAAAAATATCAAGCAGATACAATAGACAAAAATGCATTTCTTTCTTTATAACTCATTAAGGATGTCTCGTCTCACAGAAATTTTAAGGATAATTTGTGCCATTCCAGAATATTAATTTAAATAAAAAGGTTTACTTTACGTCCAGAATAACACAATAAAGTGAAAAGATACAGAATAACACATTTTAAGAATGAAAACATTCCTTCAGAATTATACACCTAGATTTATAGTAAATATATATGTTATTTATAATTGGCAAAAAAAAACTACAAAGAGAAGAAGAAGAAAAATCAGAATGTTTAATTCAGAATAGTTTAGTGTAAGACGTATAAAATTGATGTTGAAAATTATAGTATCATTAATAAAAAAATATTAGAAAATATTTATAAAAAAACAATCTTTGCATTTCTTTCAATTTTAAGATCATTTTTCAGATTGAGCAGTTTTGAAAAATTAGTTTTAAACGCTTATTTACAGTCTCAATTTTGGTTTGAAAAATTCAAACAAGTTACGAAGAATTGATATTGAATTTAGTAGACATATTTTCAAGTTCAAGTACAATTAGTGGCACATGTGTGTGAAGTGTTGAATTTAAATAATATACTTTGTTCGTTGATTTTGATGCTTAAAATATTAAAAACAAGGTAAGATATAAGAAAATACATAAAATTTAAAGTTGATGCTTAAACAAACACGAATTCCATGCCATTTTGTTGCTAAAATCTGTTAAAATCACAAAAACCACAAAAGTTCAGTATTTTTAAAACCATGATTGTGGTGAATTTACAGCCAACTTAATCTATTATTCCATAACAAAAACATTTAAATTTTAAAAATCCGTTGACCAACTTTTCACCACAAAATAATTTTAACGGGTTTAAAAATTATAAATTAAGGAACACAAGTCTCCAAATTTTTAATTTGTCCAAAGAAAATTTTTCTTCGTATGTATTCATTTTAGTTATAACATTTAAGCCATGTAGAGCTCGAAAAAATTGCTGGCAGAAAATTAAGACAAAAATTGATAATTTTTATGCTATAAAAATTGTTGATTGCTCAAAAAATAGCTTAGAAATAAGGAGAACAGTGTTGTGCTCGAAATCAAGCGAAATTAATAAAAATAAAAATAAAAGTGAAAAAAATTAAATTGAAATAAAGTGAAAAGAAAAAATAGAAAAATTCATAAAAATCAAAAATTAGCTAATTTATGTGGATTACATTACTTGGATTACTAAATTTAAGCTTCATACTCACTTAAGGCTGCGTTAATTGAATATAAATTGTAAGTATTTTGCGACATTACTGTAAACATGAAAAAATCGTGAGCACAAAAATTATTTTTTTTTTGCATAAACCCTTTTTGCATATATGGAAATACTATAAAAATGATGTTTCAGACTGTAAATTTTACTTCCGATTTTTAATCATGATTTTAAAACTTTATCAAATTATCTGATGAGTCAATATATGTTATATTATTATTTTGTGGATTATTTGATTCAAAAACAGAAAAAAGTTGTAATATTACTGTCAAAATATCGCCACTTGTAAAAATCGAGGTCATGTAGCCTAACAAGTCTACGTAGATGAGTTTTGAAATATAATCGGTTTTTGGCTAATATAATTTACATAAATTTCAACACCTATTTAAAGAATTTCGCCTGCTTTCTTTCACTTTTTTATTACTGTGGATGTTTCAGCATGATTTCCATCCACATTACTCAATGATGGAAATCTGAATAGCAGCATGAAATATTTCGCAAAATAAAATACAATTATAATGAAAGAGAAAGATTTCATAGAATTTCATTCATGAAAGAAATTTTAACAGAAGCTGTTCGTTGCCGTGCCCTTTTAGTTTTATTCATTATTTCTGTTCCTACATTGACGAATACGTCTGGCTGTAAATTTGCAGCAACACAAAAGAATTTACATATATTCGGAATTTCATATTATCAAACTGTAATACTACAGTTCATAATTAGCTCGGATGGAAATACAACAAAAAAAAGTTTACACATGCCGAAGATTTTTAGCTAGTTTCCCAATGTCATTGTATCTTCGCCATCGAATGTAGTGTTTATATGGTGTAAAACCGTCTCTTTTTGTTTAATCAATATTTATGATATTGTTATATATTAATAAACCATATCCAAGTGTATTCACTAGAGGGATATAGGAAAGAAAATTGTATGTAATCTAATCGAGGCAACTTTCAATTTATTCGTTCACATAAAAAATTACATTTTATTCACAATCGTCAAGGAATAGCTTGAGAGAATTTCTTTTGTGCCGAGGGAAAAGAATTTGTGTTGTTCATTAATGATATCCAATATTTGGGGAAGTGATGATGAAGTCTTAAGATTTTTGACTTGTTTATGCTCATGTGTAGTCAAGCAAGAAGGGGCATAGGAGAAGTTACCGTCTGTTTAGGTTTTAGAAGAACAGTCTACTATATTTTTGGATTTTATTCTTTTCATAAAAACAACTAGGTCTGAAACTGTCATAACGTTCGTTTGTAAATTAAATTTTATTTATTTGTAACATAGTTGTTTACCCCTTTTCATATAAATATTCAGATTGTATACGAACTCCGAAGAATAAAGACGTTGTGTTACAATAAAACCGTTTGGTATGATTTAATTAAGGGCAATTCCACGGATTGATTTTTTCAAAAAATTCGTCTTTAAATCAATTTTTCTCAATATTCAGCAATAAAGACGTTTCAATGACTAAATAAACTTATGTAAAACGGTAAATTCTTTCGTTATGGTTGTTTTGCGTCCTTCTAAATGCTTAAATTAATGAAATATTCGACTTTTTCTGAGCGTTGTACTATTACAAAAAGTGGAATTTTTATTTTGTGAGCCGAATTTTTATACTTTCTAAACATCTAGACGTCTATTCAATCTTAATATCCTGTGCATTTTATCAAATTTAATCATTCTCCATATTTAAATTCACATTAGTATTGCTTAATTAAGAGAAAAATCAAAAATTTGACAATATTTTTTGTAATAGGGCAATTCCACGGATTGATTTTTTCAAAAAATTCGTCTTTAAATCAATTTTTCTCAATATTCAGCAATAAAGACGTTTCAATGACTAAATAAACTTATGTAAAACGGTAAATTCTTTCGTTATGGTTGTTTTGCGTCCTTCTAAATGCTTAAATTAATGAAATATTCGACTTTTTCTGAGCGTTGTACTATTACAAAAAGTGGAATTTTTATTTTGTGAGCCGAATTTTTATACTTTCTAAACATCTAGACGTCTATTCAATCTTAATATCCTGTGCATTTTATCAAATTTAATCATTCTCCATATTTAAATTCACATTAGTATTGCTTAATTAAGAGAAAAATCAAAAATTTGACAATATTTTTTGTAATAGTACAACAGAAAGCGTCTTATCAATAGTTTTGAAAAATTCAAAATTCAATAATACGTTAAATTTTATTTTAAACCAAGAATTTATTCAGCTTGATATAAGTTATTTTTCGATTCAATTTTAGAGCAGAAATAAGCATAATTAAAGAATTAAAATTTAAAAATTGAAAGATTAATATTAAAGTAAGCCTTACGCTTGTACTTATCAGCAGATAAGTAATGATGAGTATTATTAGTTCTAATACTCTATGATTTTAGCTGATGACAACAAAAAAAAATTAATTAAAGATGCCAATCTCAACAGGATCATCCATTAATGAAGATTTAGCGCAAATAATGGAACCAAATAAAAGTGAGGGCTTAAAATTAAAAAAATTTAACGTATTTATAAAATTTAAATTTTCAAGTAGAAGAAGAATTGCAATTCATTTTTCTTGAATTCCACTCATCCGTGGAATTGCCCTTAAACTACAATTACAAAAAAAAAACATTCAGAAAACGATTAAAACTTAAGGACATTTAGGATGTCCTATATTTTCTCGAACAACATTTGGTCAACCTGGGTCAACCTAGGTCAAGGTGAACATAAAATTATTATTTGAGCAGATTCAACTTAACTTTGAGTTAGGACACTAGTCAACTATCGCAAACACCAACAATCTAGTCCTAGAGTAGGGAGCACTCGTCATTCATCTCAAAGTCAGAATTATGTTATGGTTTTTTTGTGTGTGTGTATGGAAAGAAAGTAAAGAGACGGGTATGGGAAGGCTAAAAATCTCCATGGCAAATCTGAGCAAATCAAAAACATATTTTTTTCTTAAGATTCAGAACAAAACCGTAACTACACTATGTCTTTGTATCTCACTAATGGACGTCATTTTTGAATGAACCCTAATCGACAGAATTAAATTAATATTTTTTGTTGAAACGAAATGAGAAGGAAGAAAGAAATTGTCGCATTTTGTTGTGTGTGTCAATAACTCATATTCTTTATTATTTAAGAGAAAAAAAATCTCTACACGTTATGACGAAGTGTATAAGTAGCCATATGCTATACACATCATTATAATGCATACATAAAAAAATCTCGTCTCATACATTCCAGAATCCCACAAACAATCGTTGTATGCCTCTTTATCGTAATTTAAAGATTGTTGTTCTCTCAGTTGTTTCATGCTTCCTAAAAAAATTGTAATAATTTATCAAATGCTGAACAAACAGATAAGAAGCTTAATATTTCTTCAAAAAAAATTTTAAAAAAATCTTTACTGTGTTACTCTATAGAAATTATAATGTGGCAATAGCACTCTTTCCTCTTGAAAATAAGCCTCTCTTCTTTCTTTTTATTTCATCTTACTTAATGACATGCCTCTTTAATTCACTACAATCTATACGAAGAAATTGTACAGTAGTTTTAAAAATAAAGTTCTACCTACCTACTACTCTCAATCTTTACATTTCTTTTGCTTTATTTTGTAAAGAAAAGAGCTGTAATTTGCAAATTAAAAATGGTCACTTGCTTGTATCAGAAACTGACGATTCAATCATAACAAAGTGCCATTTATTATCGATGATGTGCTAAACTAATTATCAAGAATAGAAGAAAGAGAAAAACTCACTGAATGACAGGTTTTGCCTTTTGTTTTTCATCTGATAGCTGCTTGAGCAAGTGAAAATGACAAATCCAACATTAATTTCATTTGTGTGTTCCTTTCTGTCGACAACACAGTGCAAATTGTTTTTTAAAGC